CTATAATGAGATTTGAGAACTCTTGCAGGCAACAATGGCTTGAATTTCAGACTATTTTTAGCACAAATGTATTTAAAGAGGTTGATGAAGGATTTGGTTTCCATTTTGGGTGAAACCTTCCTTTAAAAATGTGTTTACAAGGTCTCTTTCTATGGCAGGAATGCAGTAAATCATGCGACAACGTACGGATTCAACCCTGTTATCTCTGCAAATACACAGCAGAGCTCTCATTTGCTCAAACACACACATACACACACACAAACACACACACGTCAGCTGTGTTTACACCTGACCAATGTTATCTGAAGACACCCAGAAGACAGTACTTTTATGTTTGCACAGAACAGAGACGGTTCTACTTTCAATTTTCACATAAAACTGAGAAAGTCACGAACATGACAGCGGGGAATGAACTTTTAAGGAGACTCGAGAGCCACTAGACTAAACTAGGAATCGTGACAACGGATAAGAGCACTAAAACCTCAGATCTGGCTAAAAGACGGATTTTCAAACTGCTGTCAGTGAAGCAATAATGGTCCTTGAAAGATGTCATGTGGTCTGAGAGATAATGGGCAGATTTAATACAAATAAAATTTTTTTTTTGTTTTTTTGCTCACCAAGGATACAATTATTTTGTAAAAATTACAGTAAACATTTGAATATTAGTAATCATTAATTATTTATTTATATATATATATATATATATATATATATATATATATATACATATATATATAATTTTTTTTCCCCTAGTTGTCCTTAAATGCATTTTAGAATGTCATTTAATCCCGTTACTCTGATTTTTCTGCATCATTCTAACATATCTATTATGCCGTGACTGTTGCTCAGTAAAGTGATTGGTGATCTTTGAAAGGGGAGTTGTTTTTCATTTATTTTAATATCCTGACTACATGACATATTAACAAATCCATATCTCAGCAGGGTCTGTCATGTTTTTGGGTCCCCTTGAAACATTTCCATTGTGTTATGTGGATATTTGTAAGTGTAGTGAGTAACTTGCAGCGCGTTTCTTCAGTTGTTTGTGTCGTGACTAATTTGCTGCGCGTTTCTTCAGTTGTTTGTGTTGTGAGAATTTGCAACACGTGTGCTGTCAAATTGATGAAGATTGTTTATTTATTTATTTGCTGGTGTTTTTTAATTGCATGAGCTTTCTTAAAATTGCAGCACATTAAGTTCTCTCGGCCACCATAGATTTGCCGCCCAAGCAAAAATTCCTATCGTTACAAATAGGGCTGCATGATATTGGTAAAATCTAACACTGCAATTTTTTTTTTCCTGCAATATATATAGGAATACAATTTCATTAGATTTGTTGAATAACTATCTGGAAAGAATTTATCATTTTGATTGGGATGATTCTGTAGAGGAGTAAATATGCATTAAATATAAGACACTATGGACAAACATAAATATATTCAATAGCATTTAAAAAAAGAGAAAAAGATAGCATTTAAATAAACAGCGTTTTTTGTTTTCAGAGGGGTCAAACTGTATTCAGGTAAACAGTAATTAAATATTCAAATGTAAAATATTACTGCTTAGTCTTGATTGTACTGTTTGTAACTGACGATTCATTTTATTGAATTCTTTATAAGAACATTTCTTATTTCACACTGAAAACATGTGTGGCCTACAAACAGCAAAAGTTTGTTAATATTTATTTACTATAGTTTCATTTATTCAAGTACATTTTCAAATGGATTATAAAATATTAATACTTAAAATAAATATCTATTATTTTCTATATTATTTACATATGTATTTTAAACTACATTTATTAAATCAAAAAAGTAAACATTTGAATAGTATTAAACATAAATACAATATTAAAAAGCTATTTTTAAATACATTTTTAAATCATTTAAAATTACCTCGACTCAAAGCTGATTTTTCAGCATTTTTCTAACATACCGATTTGCTGCTTAATAAAAATTATTATTATTATTATTATTATTATTATTGCTGAAAACATTTGTGGGATTTACAAACTTGATGAACAGAAAGTTTATGTTGCGATTTATTTACTAGATTATAATTTCAAAAGGAATATTATGAAATATTATTACAATTTAAGATAAATATCAATTATTTTCTATATTATCTACTTATGCATTTTAAACTACATTTATTTTGTGAAAAATACAGTAAACTTGAAAAAATGTGAATATTATTAAACATTAATACAATTTTAAAAAGCTATTTTTTATATAATTTAAAATATTATTTAATCCTGTGACTCAAAGCTGATTTTTTAGCATTATTCTAATTTACTGATTTGCTGCTTCAGAAACATTTCTCATTATTACTGATGCTGAGAACATTTGTAGGGCTTCCGAGTTTGATAAATTTTGTGTTGCATTTTTTTTAACTGCATTTTATTTCTATTTTCAAATGGAATATTATGAAATATTATTACAATTTCAAATAAATATCCAATATTATCTATATGAAGAGTTCAGATGCAAAAAAACTCTAAATGCAGTCTAAAATTTTATCCTAAAATAAGCATTTTTTTTCAGCCTATTTGTTTATGTTCAGTTGTTTCACTGTTAAGGCGATGAAAAAAACATTTTCATCATCATAAAAGTAAAACTACATACACACAGGAGTCTGAGAAAAATGCTAATTTTAAAAGTAAATATTAAATGGCATTTAGAGGTTTTTGCATCTCAACTCTTCATATTATGTAGATATGTATTTTAAACTACAATTCCCATTATTTAAATCTGAATTTTCATTATGATTTCAGTCTTCAGTGTCACATGATCATTCAGAGATCACTTACAGTCATCAAATTATGCTAATAAATATTTTAGATGTATAGAAATATTTTTTTATCATAATTTTAAATGTTTAACATGACAAATGTCTTTACTGGTAGTTTAAATGATTTAAATCCATCCATGCCACATTAAACTATTACTTTAAAAGAAACCATACAGATCCATGGTTAATCCAACAATTAGTTTATAACAATTAAACTAATCCATATTAACTCATGATAAAGAGCGTCTGTGCTTTCACTTCAGTTACATAACTCAGAGTTATACAACATATCATACATAAATGCGAGATCAAACGCCTGAAACATTACAGTTTGGTTAAAACAGAAAGAAATAGGTTTATGAGCAATTCCAGCATAATGGATGTGATATCTGCAGTTAAAACTCAAACAAAAATGCACATAGAAAGTATACGTTAACATTATATTGACATATATGTTTATATTTTCCAGAACAACTGAACAGAGTTATGGGATCAGAAAATTATCAATCTGTAAACATGTTTTGTACTTTAAATGAGGGAAATATACATGCGTTGTGAACGTGAACAAAAAAGTCTTCAAGTCTGCATACTTTGTAGAAATTCTGTGAATTAAACAGCACAACCTCAAAAATAAATAAATAAATAAATAATGCATATCAACAGGATGAGTGTTGGCTCTCTATAGAACAAAAAATAATTTATTTGATTTCATATTTTTGCATTTATGAGAAAATAATTTCATTAAGGATGAGACATCTCTCCGTTATAGATATGACCGATGTAAATTTGCCACTTGTGTGACTGATAAATCAAAAAAATTGTTTAAAAACATTGACAGAGATACTTTTGAGCATGTAAAATACTTGCTTACACACACACACACACACACACACACACACACACACACACACACACACACACACACACACACAAAACGTAGAAACAATTTCGGTATTTTGGCGAAAACTTTTTTTTTCATGGCAAGGTTGACATTTGCATGGAACTGCTCATATATGGTTAAACAACAATCAGGCTATGTACTGTAATGTACTCTACTCTGTATCAAATATGAAGCAGCTACACTTAATAGGAACTGACAGAGATAACCATAACTGATGTGCATTAGATATGTAGAAATAAATTTAATAAAATAATAATAAAGCTTTGTTATTTATCCTCTCAGAATAGAACTGGCTGCTTGCTAGGCTAGCTGCTTACCTTAAAAGTCCATATAGTTGTATAGCCATCAGCACACTTGCATAAGATTTACACAAACTCTCCGACGTAGTAGATGTCATTATAGTAGTTTTGTGCATGTTTGTTTGCACATAATTTGCATCAAGCCCTTTTATAGACATCTTGTAAGACTATATAGTTATTTTTACCATTTTACTACAACTGATTTGGCTTTGCCCATATGACAGACGCTAGGTGCTCCGACGACAAGTGTTCAGGTTGAGAACACAATTAAACTACAGCAAAATCTCCAGTCAGACATTTCTTTTCGGATATAAGTGTCATCTTAAGTGATCAAGAAAACACAAAGGCCTTTAAACACTTCTTCCACTTCAGATGAGAGCTTTGGGTGGCGCTGAATTAAGCTCTTCATGCTTTCTTTTATTCCGCTCGCTTGATTAGTAATGCATCAAGAATTCAAAGACTGGGATACTATCAGTGTTATTATCATTCCAATGAACATCACTAAAGTTCAAGCACATCACTAAGGCTTTTTAATGAGGCTATAAACTTCACATTTGATCGCTTTCCAGGCACAAACAGCAGGTGACATGGCCATGGCACAATTATCATAACCATCATCATCATTAGTAATCAGACACATCATCAGTTTGTCATATTAAAGTCATCCGATTAGTTGCAAAACTTTGTTACATAGTCCAGAGGATCATCCATCACCGCGTAAAAGTTCTCTTCACTTTACCTTTTACAAAATATAAATACTAATTTACTCTCTCAATCACGCGCGCATGCTAAACAACTCTATTAGACTCTGTAAATACACTTGAGAAATGAGCGCGTGCTTAAAAACACCATAGGCTGTTGCGCATTTAAATCAGCACGAACAGTATTTCAGTGAGCATCTCCGCGTAAAACAGCTTCAGCCCATCGCGAGATTAGAAAACAAACAGCGAAAGTAACTGTAGCAGAAGATAAAACAAAGCAAAAAAAAAAAAAAGCTGAAAAGCCAAACTTACCATGTCTCGACTGGACGTGATGATGATGATGATGATCGCGCGCTGATATAGAAGTATCTGTGCACTGAATCATCTGCCAAAACTATTCCAAAACTTCAAGTGCAACGCTTCCGCTTCCGGAAAAAAGTATCGAGATGGGCGAGACGAAGCCCAAAAATACGCCTGGCCTGAAACCTGCTGGAAGAAGATAAGCAGTACACCATCCCTACCTCATCCAAACCAATGACTTTAAAACTATAGATCAAAACCAAAAATACAGTACAGTTATTACAGTTACAACAGACAGACAGACAGACAGACAGACAGACAGACAGATAGATAGATAGATAGATAGATAGATAGATAGATAGATAGATAGATAGATAGATAGATAGATAGATAGATAGATAGATAGATAGATAGATAGTGTTGTCTTTAAATGATTCTTGATCTAAATACGCATTATTGTTGTTTCTATTTATTTAAAATTTAAAATTACTTTAATAATAATAAAATCTTATTTTAAGTGAATTTTCACAAACTAATCTCGAGAGGAGCACGTGATTTGATTGTGATTATAAATCAGGGTTATTTTATTTATTATTTCTTTTAATCTGAAGTAAAGAACATTGGTAAACATTTGAAAACATGACAAGATTGTTATGTTAAAATTGAAAGGAACGCCGTAGTTTACAGATAGTTTACAAACTAAAAGAAATATTTTAAATATTATAATATTATTTATTTAATTTGTTTCTGAATTATGCTTCAATCATATTTTTCTCATGTAGAAAACTGGCAAAATAAACTTTAATAATAATAAATACATTTTACTAATGACAACATGTCAGCAAGCATAACTAATGTTTTAATTTGCTGTGATTAAAAAATTATTTTATAAAATATGTTTAGTCTGAAGAAAATACCATTGTTATCGTGTTGAAATGAATAAATAAAATCGTGTAAAATAAATAAAAACATGACAATTTTTCATTCTATATACCAAATTAATAAATCAAAATTTGAAAAAATGTCATATATTTACAGACTAAAACTAAAAGCAATTATATTACATAGAAAAAATATAAACAAAATCATATATTTTTAAAATAGTTGAAGTCAGAATTATTAGCCCCCGTTTGATTTTTTATTTTTTTATTTTTTAAATATTTCCCAAAATGATGTTTAATAGAGCAAGGAAATTTTCACAGTATGTCTGATAATATTTTTTCTTCTGGAGGAAGTCTTATTTGTTTTGTTTTGTGTAGAATAAAAGCAGTTTTAAATTTTTTAAACACTATTTTAAGGACACAATTATTAGCCCCTTTAAACTGTTTTTTTTCCCGACTGTCTACAGGGCAAACCATCCTTATGCAATAACTTGCCTTATTATTCTAACCTGCCTAGTTAACCCAATTAACCTAGTTAAGCCTTTAAATGTCATGTTCAGCTGTATAGAAGTGTCTTGAAAAATATCTAGTAAAATATTATTTACTGTCATCATGGCAAAGATAAAATAAATCAGTTATTAGTAATTAGTTATTATTATGTTTAGAAATGTATTGAAAAAAATCTGCTCTTCGTTAAACAGAAATTTAGGGAAAATAGGGGGGTCTCGTAAACTATATACAAATATTTAAAATATATCATTCTAAAACATGACTTTATTTCATAATTTACATACACACGGTTGCTTTGAGAACAACATATAGAGTTATTTTGAACTGTTTTTATCTACTTTTAACTTTAGTATTATGTTATATTCACCTTTCCCACATTTACAGTCGCACATCTATAGTATCAATATATTTCCTGACAACTTCAGCACTGATGTTTTCTTATGCATGCCTTCTGCAACTAAGGCTTTCCTTTGAAATCTGTGAGGGAACATGAATGTGTGACAATAAAATAAGCCTTGTTTTTTAGTGAGGAAAAGGACTTAAATCTCCTTATTCTATGGTTAGGGCATAACAATGACTTATATAAAATCAAACATTGCATTCACTTTATTGTAATGGCCAAGTCAACAAAAATAACCAAAGTCTCAGCTGTTTAGTTAATGCACAGCTTATAAGATATTCCCAATGATAAAGTACAAAGTAAAGATCTCATTTGAGGAAGAAAATGACACTTTTATTTACTGTAGCTTAATGATAAGCTGGTAAGGAAATGAGATCACAGCGAAGCAAGGAAGTGGTTAACCGTATGATCCATCTGTGACGAAGCAGCTGTGATAGACATCTAACCATAAGACTGTAAAACCACAAGTTTATCCTATTTGCTATATGGCATGATGGTCAATGTATGAAATAAACTGCAACTGCAAAAAAATAGTGCAGCTCATTTGCAACAGCGTTCAATAAAGATTTTTGCTACCCTACTTGTTTAAACTACTTATTTAAAATGAGCTGAATCAACAGCCATAGCCATATCACCATGCAACGAGGCTTCATAAAACACTGAAACAGTCGAAGCAAATGTAATGAAGCTTCAAAACATTTTAAATTCCGTCTCTACAGCGACAACTAGTGGTCATTTGTTATGTATTGCTCTGGAACAGGGGTCACCAACCCTGTTCCTGGAGAGCTACCTTCCTGCAGAATTCAGTCCCAACCCTGATCAAACACACCTGAACCAATTATTAGTACCTAAAGCAGCACTTGATAATTACAAACAGGTGTGTTTGGTCAGGGTTGCAACTGAAATGTGCAGGAAGGTAGCTCTCCAGGAACAGGGTTGGTGACCCCTGCTCTGGAAGCTTCAACAAAGTAACAGTTAAGCAAATTGAGGTATTAAACCCCATGTTGTAGAGTTGAGGCTTCAAGTAATTTAGTGAGAGATTCAGACTAGCATGCTGAGATAATGGGTTCGAATGGTAATGGGACCAAAACAATATTTCAGATGGTTTACAGTGTGCTCAGCCTGACGGTTTGCCCATTCACACAAATTTTTATCATCACATGATCAATTTTAACAAAATCACATGACCTTTTTTAATGTGCTTGCTGAAGATTGTGCGGTAAAAGTGTTTCCATCGCAGTTTATGCACATCTTTTCTTGTTGAATAAAAAGTGTATCCTACTCAGTTATGCGCATATGTTTTTTTTATGCGCATTTTCAAAATTTATGTGCATCATGGCGTTTCCATCAACCGTTTTTTTATGCTCATATGCAAAATGCGCAAAAATAAATGGATGGAAACATGGCTACTGTCTCTCCACTCAGCGCCGTTGTCATGTGGCTGCCGTCGCATCATCCAAGTGGATGCTGCACACTGGTAGTGATATGGAGACCCCCATCATTATTAAGAAGAGCTTTGTGTGTATGGTCATACACAAAATGCACTATATAAATACACATTACAGTACATCACAACGCAATTATTAGGTTTTTTTTTTTTTTGGGACAACATAATTATTTTATGTTCATTCCACTTAAATTTGTAAAAACAATCAGGCTAACTTGATTGATTTGTGTTGAGACAGCATAAAAAATCATGTGGAACGCAGCATTTTTTTTACAGTGAGCCTTCAAATCATCAAGTGAAGAAAGCAAATTAATATCTGTAAAAATACAAACATCAAAACATCTGTAATTGCGATTTAATATTACGTGCTCCAGAAAAAAAAGGATTGATAAAAAAACATAATATTTCTGAAACTTGCTTATGCCATGCCTGTTTGTTCCAGCAAAATTGAAGCAATTGCTAATTCGATTGAACTGTATTGCCAGCATTTCTCAGTGGAATCTTAATTACTGTTCTTTTGCCATAAAACAGATGGGAAGAGGTATTGTGTTCATGTTATTACCCAGTGGATGGTTACAACTTGATTTATGGACCACTGTCAGTATTTCTGAAGCAATATATCTCAGAGGCACGGCACAATGGTTACTCCTTCCATATTATGAATCCTAAATTTTTTCCAAATATGAAATATGAGTGGAACATATCATCTGGCCCCCTCAGAAGCATAATATATGCCTTCATCATTTGATAAGCAGGACTTGCAGTGCTGTTGGGCAGGATAACATATGGAAAAAGCAGCCAGCAAGAAAATTGCAGAGCTGTGAGTTCACTAGCATTTTTGGACTGTCTAAAGAATCATGATGAACTTCATTTAGTTCTGTATTTTAAGTCACATGATTTTGCCAATAGATGTCGGCGCCAATAGCCTAGAGCAGTGATCACCAAACTTGTTCCTGGAGGGCCGGTGTCCTGCAGATTTTAGCTCCAACCCTAATCAAACACACCTGAACAAGCTAATCAAGGCCTTACTAGGTATACTTGAAACATCCAGGCAGGTGTGTTGAGGCAAGTTGGAGCTAAACCGTGCAGGGACACCGGCCCTCCAGGACCAGGATTGGTGACCCCTGGCCTAGGGGTTAAGTGCGCCTATATATAGCATCATGGTGCTCAGGGCAACCCGAGTTCGATTCCCAGCTCAAGGTCCTATGCCCATCCTTCCCCTCTCCCTGTTTGTCCTATCTTATCCCGATAACAGCTGAAAAAACCCTGAAGAAAAAATTATAAAATGTAATCTATACCTATTCCCTACCCCTAAACCATAGCTGTAAATTATTCCAAAAATCAGAGGGGAATGATAGTTGGATAACACTCATGTAGAAATGCATAAACCTAACAAAAGCCTTAATATAAACAGTGAACATATCTCTTAATTCTGATTGGCTGATTGGAATGTTGACCAGAGTCAACATAGATGTTAATCCAGGAGCATGTCCTAATTAGTGAAATCAGGTTGGGGTGTTTTAAGCTATTGAGTCAAAAGTAAATTTTTAAATTTTTAAAAAGCCTTATAAATCTCCCAAACTTCAATAATCGTGTAAATTTTTTTCCTTCAAAGTTTTATAAACAGCATTTTAGTGAAAAGTGGCAATGAAGTCTGCAAGCAAAAACTGTTGCAGGAAAATGTGCAATAAACCACTAACAACAACAACAGCAAAAATAAAGATACCGCCCGCCAACTTATCTGCACGTTTTACGCAGCAGATGGCCTTTCAGCCGCAACCCATCACTGGGAAAGATCCATACACTCTTACACACACTCACATACACTATGGCCAATTTAGCTTATTCCGTTTACCTGTATTGCATGTCTTTGAACTGTGGGGGGA